TCATTTCTCCAAAGATGATACACAAAGTGGCCAACACACACACACACCAAAGTGCTCAACATCACTAATCAACAAAGAACACAAATCAAAACAATTAGGATGGCTACTATTAAAAAAAAAAAAGCAAGTGTTGCTGAGGATATGGAGAAAGTGGGACCCTTTTACACTTGCAGGGATTGCAAAATGGTATAACTGCTATGGAAAACAGTATTGCAGGTCCCTCAGAAATTAAGAAAGAGACCTACCATCTGTTCCAGTAATCCCACTCTGGGTATAAATCTTAAAAAACTGAAAACAGGATCTTGAACAGATATCTGCATACCTATATTGAACCACCACTATTTCCTCTAGGAATGCAGTGGGAAATTAAAAAATAAAATAAATTAAATAAATAAATAAATAAAAGTGAACCATCACTATTCACAATGGCCAGGAGGTGGAAGCAACCTAAACGTCCCTCAACAGATGAATGGAAAAGACAAATGTGGTGTACACACACCATGTAGTATTATCAGCCCTACAAAGGAAACCCCATCACATGCTTTAGTATAGGGGAACCTTGAGGACATTATGGTAGATAAACTAAACCAATTACAAAGGGACAAAGACTGTATAACTTCACTTAGATGAAGTATAAAAAGTAGTTATATTCAGTTGGGCGTGGTGGCTCACACCTGCAATCCCAGGACTTTGGGAGGCTAAGGTGGGCAGATCACCTGAAGTCAGGAGTCCAAGACTAGCTTGGCCAACATGGTGAAACCCCATCTCTACCAAAAATACAAAAATTACCCAGGTGTGGTGGTGCACACCTGTAATCCCAGCTACTCGGGAGGCTGAGACCGGAGAATAGCTTGAACCCAGGAGGCAGAGGTTGCCGTGAGCCAAGATCACACCAATGCACTCCAGCCTGGGCGACAGAGTAAGACTCCACCTCAAAAAAAAAAAACAAGTAGTCAAATTCATTAAAACAAATTAAAATAGAGATTGTTGGGGCTGGCGGAAGGGATGAGGGGAGTTGTTTACTGGATACAGTTTCGGTTTCCCAAGATGAAAAAGGTTCTGGAGCTACTTCCTAACAATGTGAATGAATATACCTAACACTGCTGAACTGTACACTTAGAAAGTTAAGATGATAAATGCTCTATGCTTTTTTTTTTTTTGCCACAGTAAAAAATGCTTTATTGGCCACACACAGTAGCTCATGCCCATAAATCCCAGCACTTTGGGAGGCCACGGAGGGAGAATGGCTTGAGCCTAGGTGTTCAAGGCCAGTCTAGGCAACATGGCAAGACCTCATCTCTACAAACAAAAAATGAAAAAAAAACTGGTTGAGCATGCTGGCACACACCTGTGGTTCCAGCTACTCAGGAGGCTGAGGTGGGAGGACTACTTGAGGCTAGGAGGTCGAGGCTGCAGTGAGCTGTGACTGTACCACTGTACTCCAGCCTGGGTGAGAGAGAAACATCCTGTCTCAAAATAATTATTACAAAATAAAAAAATTTTAAGAGGCAATTCACAAAAGGAAATACAAATGGAAAATGTACAAATGAAAAGATGCTAAGCTGGGCGCAGTGGCTCATGCCTGTAATCCCAACACTTTGGGAGGCTGAGATGGGCGGATCACCTGAGGTCAGGAGTTCGAGACCAGCCTGACCAATATGGTGAAATCCCATCTTTAAAAAAAAAAAAAAAAAGAAAAGATGCTTACTTCCCTAGTAGTGTAAAAGGCAAATTAAAATGTCTTTTGACTGGGCGCAGTGGCTCACACCGGTAATCCCAGCACTTTGGGAGGCCAAGATGGGTGGATCATTTGAGGCCAGGAGTTCAAGACCAGTCCAGCCAACATAGTGAAATTCCACCTCTACTAAAAATACAAAAATTAGCCAGGTGTGGTGGTGTGCGCCTGCAGTCCCAGTTACTTGGGAGGCTGAGGCAAGAGAATCACTTGAACCCAGGAGGTGGAGGTTGCCATGAGCCAAGATTGTACCACTGCACTCCAGCGCAGGAGACGGAGTGAAATTCTTTCTCAAATAAAGTCTTTCTACCTCTCAGATTGGCAAATGTCTATAGACTGATAATATCCAGCTCTCCCAAAGGTACAAAAAGCAGAAATTCCTATATTGCTAGTGAAAATGCACGTCTCGAAGAAATGTGGTGATATCAGTTTAGCTTTTCAGATGTTCACACCTATACTGCAATTTCTCCTCTAAGAACTGCCTCACCCAAGAACAGAAAGAAGTATGTACAAGCATGTTACCGAAGGGTTATTTGTAATCACAAAAAAGGGAAAACCAGCCAATGTCCAATAACAAGAAAATGGTTAAACTGCAGTCCATCCATACAGTGGAATACCAGCCAGGCAGAATAAAATATAGAAAGATGTCCAAGATACATTTTGGCCAGAAAAAAAAAAAAAAACCAGCTGCCAAAGTTTATATACAACATTCCCCTTTTTGTGAAAAAGAAGTTTGTATGCATTTATTTAAAAAAAATTGCCAGATGCAGCTGCTCACGCCTGTAATTCCAGCACTTTGCGAAGCTGAGGTGGGTGGATCACCTGAGTTGGGATTTCAAGACTAGCCTGACCAACACGGAGAAACCCCGTCTCTACTAAAAATACAAAATTAGCCAGGCATGGTGGCGCATGCCTGTAATCCTAGCTACACGGGAGGTTGAGGCAGGTGAATCACTTGAACCTGGGAGACAGAGGTTACGGTGAGCCAAGATCGTGCCATTGCACTCCAGCCTAGGCAACAAGAGCAAAAACTCTGTCTCAAAAGAAAAAAAAAATGGAGGAATATATAGCAAATAGTTCACAATAATTATTTCTAGGGATTATAGGGAGCTTTTGCTTTCCATATTATATACCTGCAAGGTTTGAATGTTTTCTGTTGTTTTAAGCTTTTATTTTAGGTTCGGGGGTAGATGTGAAGGTTTGTTACATATGTAAACAACTCGTGTCACAGGGGTTTGTGGGTTTGTGGTACAGATTATTTCATCATCACCCAGGTATTAAGTCCAGTACACAATAGTTATCTTTTCTATTCTTCTCCCTCCTCCCACCTTCCCTGCTTAAGTAGACCCCAGTGTCTGCTGTTTCCTTCTTTGTAGTTCATAAGCTCTTATTTAGTTCCCACTTAGGGGTGAGAACATGCAGTATTTGGTTTTCTGTTCCTGTGTTAGTTTGCTAAGGATGATGGCCTCCATCTCCATCCATGTTCCCACAAAAAACATAAACTTGTTCATTTTTATGGCTGCATAGTATTCCATGGCATATATGTACCACATTTTGTTTACCCAATCTGTCATTGATGGGCATTTAGGTTGATTCCACATCTTCGATATTGTGAACAGTGCTGCAATGAACATTCATGTGCATGTCTTTATGGCAGAATAACGTATATTCCTCTGCATATATCCCCAGTAATGGGACTGCTAGGTCAAACGACACTGCTTTTAGCTCTTTGAGGAATCGCCATACTGTTTTCCACAACAGTTGAACTAATTTACGCTCCCAGCAACAGCGCATAAGGGTTCCCTTATCTCCACAAACTTGCCAGTATCTATTATTCTTTGACTTTTTGATAATAGCCATGCTGACTGGTATGAGATGGTATCTCATTATGGTTTTGATTTTCATTTCTCTAATGATCAGTGATGTTGAGCTTTTTTATATGTATGTTGGTCACATATGTGTCTTCTTTTGAAATGTGTCTGTTCATGTCCTTTGCCCAACTTTTTTTTTTTTTGAGACAGAGTCTTGTTCTGTTGCCCAGGCTGGAGTACAGTGGCACCATCTCAGCTCACTGCAACCTCCGCCTCTTGCGATTCTCCTACCTCAGCCATCCTAGTAGCTGGGATTACAGATGCCTGCCACCACACCTGGCTAATTTTTGCATGTTTAATAGAGACAGGGTTTTGCCATGTTGTCCAGGCTGGTCTCAAACTCCTAACCTCAGGTGATCCACCTGCTGCGGCCTCCCAATGTGTTGTGATTATAGGCATGAGCCACCACATGTGGCCTTTGCCCACTTTTTAATGGAGTTTGTTTTTTTTTGAGATGGGGTTTCACTCTGTCATCCAGGCTGGAGTATAGTGGTGTGATCTTGGCTCATGCAACCTCCCACCTCCCAGGCTCAAGCAATCCTCCCACTTCAGCCTTCTGAGTAGCTGGGACTACAGGCACACACCACCACGCCTGGCTAATATTTGGTATTTTTTGTAGATAAGAGATTTCGTCATGTTTCCCTGGCTGGTCTCAAACTCCAAGACTGAAGCCATCTGCCCACTTCAACCTTCCAAAATGCTAGGATTACAGGCACGAGGCACCAAACCCATTTTTTTTTTAAATGTATTACTTGCAATTAGGAAAAATAAATAAATAAAATCCCCTAAAGCTGGGTGCTGCAGTTCATGCCTGTAATCCTGGCACTTTGGGAGGCCAAGGCAGGAGTTGAGGTCAGGAGTTTGAAACTAGCTTGGGCAACACAGCGAGACTTCAACTCTATAAAAAAATTTAAAAACTGGCCAGGCATAGTGGTACATACCTGTAGTCCCACCTACTCAGGAGGCTGAGGCAGGAGGACTGCTTGAGCCAAGGAGTTTGAGATTACAGTGAGCCATGATGATGCCACTGCACTACAGCCTGGGCAGCAGAGCAAGATTTCATCTCTAAAAAATGTTTAATTCAGTACTGAATTCAAAAGGCTGCCAGACTGCTATCACTGAACTTTTACTAACAAGCATAAATGATAAACATAATACCTGGTAAAATTCGATTCCTTGATCTGTTATGAAGACAATTTCAGTAGAACTAGTCCAGCAGAATCCTAGAATGTTGGCATTTTTAGTCTAGAAAAAAAATTTTTTAATATTTTTAATTAATAAGAAAAAACATATAACTCTCTTCAAAAGCTTAACATGCTCTGGACTTTGTCACCCTTTAATGAAAATTCCTTGGAATGTTTACTAATTAACAAAACAAATTTTCTTTCAAATACAGTGTTTCTGATTTTTGCCCATAACTCTTCATTCAAGAACCTGAATCTGAATTCCTTCTACTAAACAGAACAGGGGAAGTCTGTGTTTTGTAGAAAGGTAACTGGCCAGAGCTCACAGATAGCAGCTTCTACCTCCAGGAATCACCATACTGCTGACATTCTTAGTCACCCACATTTTAAAAACTGTTATTATAAACGTACAAAGGCCTATGGTCTTTAGCGAGTGTTGACCAAAATGGGCTGAGGACCCTAAGAAACACACCCAACTTGCTTGAGGGCAGACAGGGCTGAGCAGGGCTGGGCTGAGGGCCTCTTTGCACGGGGCCACAGCAGGGCAGAGTTCAGTGGTGGGGATGCACCTTTCCTCACTGAAGAGCCCACCCTGAACTCCGTTTACCAAAACAGTCACAAAGATGCAGAAAGCAGCCGGGGTGCCACACTGCCGCTTTTAGCTCAGCTCCCTTTAGCCTAGTTTACTACGCCCAGCAAATCAAATTAATGTGGATTAGAATCAACACGGGGGTGGGGGGAAGAAAGAAAGCGTAAGGACAAGACAAAGACAACAAATCGAGGAAAGGAAACATCAGGAAACAGGAACAGAAACTCCTCACCAAAAACCTCCATTCCAGGTGGCTGTGAGGGACCCCAGGGCAAAGACCCAGATGTGCTGCGGCCCAGTGAGGAGAAAAAGGGCAAGACAGACGACAGCCCCCAAGGGCTTGCACTGCTGGGTGTTCACCAGGCGTCATCCATTGAACCCTCCCCGCTCCAAAGGAACAAGCTTGCAAACTTAGAAAACTGTCCTATGCAACGAGGCAAACACCCGGCCTGACTCCAGTTTTGGAATCAGCATAAGGCACAGTCTGACTTCAAGTCTGTGCTCCCAAGGCCCCGATACCCCGCTCTCCATGACATAACCCAGCTCAACACCACTGACGCCAGCAGCTGAGAAAGGGCCTAGGGCCATACCTTGCACTCCTGTGTGTATTCCAGCTGGGAATTATCAGGGATAAAGTTACAAAAATCCTGAAAGAACAAACACACACACACACACACAAATTTGGATTAGGCAGCATACTGCCAACCTACGTTGACATACTACAAGACAAGAAAAAAAATAAGTGTTAACTTAAAAAGTGACCAGAAAATAACTGAAAAAAACCCAAACACAGGAAAGATAAAAAGACCAATTTGGATAATCTGCCTCCTTAACAGTACATATCAGGTTTACGATTCAATTCTTTTTAAGTTAATACAAATATTCAGTTAGTTTAGTAACTCACTTTGAAAATTCAAAATGATGTCAGAGAAGTGTTGTTGCACTTAATAAAAGGCTTCCCCAAGACTTTAACACTTAAAACTGATGGAAGAAACTAGTTGACGATTCTGCCTGTTTCTAATGGCCTTCTCTCTACAAAAGATAACGATGAACATTTACAAACGCTAAGTTCCTGCAGGCTGCTCCAACTTGGAGTATCAGCTCCTATCAGACCTAGCACTCAGAAATCAGAGATGAGAAGGCTAATTCACAAAATAGCCAAAAACATACCTCACATACTCTATGCTGCTAGCTCTCAAGCAATACAAAAGACACATGAAGTTCCAAATTACTTTTTAAAAAATTTTAAGGGAGACTGAGGTGGGAAGATCACTTGAGCCTGAGAGATTGAGGCTGCAGTGAACCGAGATCACATCACTGCACTCCCGCCTGGGCAACAAAGAAAGACTGGCTCAAAAAAAAGTTTTAATTAATTTCAAAATCACACTAAAGTCATTTTTTAAACCACTCAAATGTCTTCTTCGTTTCTGAAGGCTCTAATACAATGCAACATAGCTATACCTTTCAAAACAGTAAGATAATAAAGTTTGCTTTAACACTGCAATCTTGCAATTCCCTCTCTCCCAAATGTATTTCTAATGCCCTTTAACACTATATTTTAAAGGTCTTACCACAGTCTTTGAGGTCCTCTGAACAGCCAATATCTTATTTTCTAAGGAAAACTTAATGCACTTCACTTCTCCTTTGTCATCCATTCTTAAGAAGAAAGAATGTGTCAGTAGATAAATAAACGAATTCTAGCTACCATCATTTACAGAAAAGACAAAAGGCACAACCTATATTCAGGAGGCAGCAAATTCTAAACTAAAATTAAAATTATGTTTTGAAGCCATCAAGAGGACCTCTTTTCAAACTACCAAATCCAACTGGAAACAACTTGCTGGGAAAACTTACAGTGTTATGGGTAACTGGGAAAACTTAACAGTATTATGGGTAACAAGTGATTGAAGAATTGAGATCACACATACGTTGTCACCTGAGACACCTGAGAATTGTTCTAACGTAACCAACTACAGACCCGCACAGGAGCCTTCTCCATGTCTGCTGTTTCTCTCTCACAGCAAAGCTTCTGGAAAGAAGCATCTATTCGTGCATCTCACAGCTCATTCATTACGCAGCCCTGTGATGCACCAGAATGGCTCCACTACAGTGTCTCATGACTGCCTCAGACAGATGTTAAAAAGTGAATTCGGCTGGGCACTGTGGCCTACACCTGTAATCCTGGCACCACGAGAGGACGAAGCAAGAGGATGACGGGAGTTCCCAGCCTCGGCAATACAGTGAGACACCGTCTCTATTCAAATATATAGTTTTTTAAATTAAAAATTCATTTTAAAAAAGCAAACTCAAGGGATGGATTACAGAGGGGCTCAAGAAAACTTTTCGGGGTCTGAACATGCTCACTGCCTTGATTGTGGTGATGGTTTCATGGGTATATACATGTCAAAACTCTCAGATTGTATAATATTAAGTGTGCAGTTTATTATGTGCCAACTATGCCTCAATAAAGCTGCTTTTAAAAACCCTTTTTTTTAGGCCGGGCGCGGTGGCTCAAGCCTGTAATCCCAGCACTTTGGGAGGCCGAGGCAGGTGGATCACGAGGTCAAGAGATCGAGACCATCCTGGTCAACATGGTGAAACCCCGTCTCTACTAAAAATACAAAAAATTAGCTGGGCATGGTGGTGTGTGCCTGTAATCCTAGCTACTCAGGAGGCTGAGGCAGGAGAATTGCCTGAACCCAGGAGGCAGAGGTTGCGGTGAGCCGAGATCGCGCCATTGCACTCCAGCCTGGGTAACATGAGTGAAACTCTGTCTCAAAAAAAAAAAAAAAAAAAAAAAAAAAATCCTTTTTTTTTTTTTTTGTTTTAAGACAGAGTCTTGCTCTGTCACCCAGGCTAGAGTGCAGTGGCACAATCTCAGCTCACTGCAACCTCTGCCTCTCCGGTTCAAGTGATTACTTGAAATATCAGGAAATGGGAAAAGAAACTCCTCACCAAATACCTCCATTCCAGGTGGCTATGAGGGATCCCAGGGCTGAGACCCAGATGTGCTGTCGGCCCAGTGAGGAGAAAAAGGGCAAGACAGACAACAGACCCCAAGTAGGTGGGATTACAGGTGCGCGCCACCACATCGGCTAATATTTGTATTTTTAGTAGAGATGGGGTTTCACCATATTGGCCAGGCTGGTCTCGAACTTCTGACCTCAGGTGATCCACCCGCCTCAGCCTCCCAAAGTGCTGGGATTACAGGTGTGAGTCACTGTGTCCAGGCTAAAAACTCTTTTTAAGTTAAATTTAGTACCTTCCCCCATGAACTTCTCAGAGTCCCCAGTTTAGATTATCATGGGCTCACTCTCCTTTTCCACACACAACCAACCCCCAAGTCTTACCAGAGACCAATCTTCTGAAGTATCCCTTGATCACCTATGTAATGCCACTCTATACCACCAGAGCTCTGGTCTTCACCACGCCTGGCTCATCTGACTGCTACTCTTCATGGTATCCCTAACTCTGACAGGCTCCCAACTAAGCCAGCCTCCATGCTGTGAACAGAATAATCTTTCCAAACACTGACAGGATCATCCCATACCCCACCTGACAAGTTTCAATAACAAGATAAAGCTCTAACTCCATAGTGGAATATGTAAGGTTCAAGCTGGCCTCTGCCACCATTTCCCCTTCCCTGTAGAGACCCCCCATGTAACCTTGAGTTACACAGACCCAGAGTTCCCCAAAACACCATGCTCGCTCCCCATCCATACTTTAAAACCTTGCTCAGGCTAGGTGCAGCGGCTCACACCTGTAATCCTAGCACTGTGGGGAGCCAAGGTGGGCAGATCACTTGAGGTCGGGAGTTCGAAACCAGCCTGGTCAACATGCTGAAATCCCGTCTCTACTAAAAATACAAAAAAATTAGCAGGACATAGTGGCAGGTGCCTGTAATCCCAGCTACTTGGGAGGCTGAGGCAGGAGAATCACTTGAACCTGAGAGGCGGAAGTTGCAGTGAGCCAGGACCCAGCAACTGCACTCCACCATGGGCACCTGAGTGAGACTCCGTCATGACATAAATAAAATAAAACATAAAATAAATAAAACCTTGCTCAACGGCTGCTTCCCTTCTGAGGCCTTCCTACTCCTGGGCAGAGGTCTTCCCCAGGCCATCCCATGATAAACAGCACATCTCTTCAGCACTCTCATGTTCTGAACACATCTCTATTTCAGCACTTACCATGGTGAATAGCATTTGTCTCCCACACTAAATTTATCAGCTCTCCACAAAGGGCCAGATGAATTTAAAGTCCTCACATGCCAGATGCCTAGCACAGGGGCTGCAGTGTTTGCCCAAGGCATGATAATAAAAGAAAAAGCTCGATGCACGTTCTACTTCAAAGACAGTTTCCCGGCCAGGTGCGGTGGCTCATGCCTGTAATCCCAGCAATTTGGGAGGCCAAGGTGGGCTGACCACCTGAGGTCAGGAGTTCAACACTAGCCTGGCCAGCATGGTGAAACCCCATCTCTACCAAAAAATACAAAAATGCCAGGTGCTGTGGCTCACACCTGTAATCCCAGCACTTTGGGAGGCCAAGGAGGGTGGATCACGAGGTCAGGAGGTCGAGACCATCCTGGCTAGCATGGTGAAACCCCATTTCTAAAAAAGAAAAAAAATACAAAAATTAGCCAGGCACGGTGGTGGGTGCCTGTAATCGCGGCTACTCGGGAGGCAGAGGTACGAGAATCACTTGAATCCAGGAGGCACAGGTTGCAGTGAACCGAGATTGCACCACTGTCACTCCAGCCTTGGGAGCACAGGGAGGCTCCTTTAACAAAAAAAAAAAAAAA